TGAGTCTCTGGAGCCCTTCCTGGAGCTTCTCTGTGGCTGCAGGGGACCTGGGTTCACGGCCACTATAGAGCTCATGAGTGTGGGGGAGCCAGGGTATGTGTCTGTGGGGCCTCTTCTTGACTGTGAGGTCTCGTTCACAGCCTGATCCAGCTGGAGGGGTTCCTGAGCGGGATGTGCTGCAACTGTGAGGCAGTGTACCGTGTCCTGTACTGGGAGAACCCCGCTGTCTCTTCCCAGTGAGTAGTACTGGGTCAGGCATCCTGTGATGGGCTTGGCAGGGAGAAGGGAGCGGCCTCTGGAGCTGTGTTTGATGTGTTTGGTGCTTGGAGAGAGCAGATGGAGGACCAGGTGAAGGAATGGGGCACTTGTGCTTGTAGCATGAGTTGCTCTGTCTTGATTACTGTGTCCTGCTGCTCCTTCCCAGGTTTTATGGGGCACTGCTGGGCTCTGTCTGCATCCTTTACCTGCTGCCCCTCTGCTGGGTCTTGGCCATCCTCAACAGCACCCTCTTCTTGGGTAACACCCAGTTCTACCAAGGTAAGAGCCCTCCCTGGATAAGGGGCCTGTGTAGGGTGGCCCTCTGAAGCCAGGGATCCAGCCCTGGACCTCTCCCAGTGCCCTCATGTGAGCCCAATGTCCTGTGTCAGGCTCTGGCATGGGACCTGAACCCCCCCTGAGGGCAACAATGTCCTAGGGATGGTGCTCAGCAGCAGCCCACGTTGGGTGGTGGAGTCCTGGGGCTCAGATGTGAGAGGTGAGAGTCCTTCCTGATGCGGAGACCTTTCCTGGTCTCCTCTGTGCTGTGGCAAACCAAGGCCTGGCAACACGACCTGCATGTGAGCATTGACACCCTTCTTGGTCTGTGACCCTGCGTTGCAGGACTCAAAATACTCTTGGTACCTGTAGCAATATATGACACAGGCTTGAAAATGTCCTGTTGATGGGGTGGAGAAGAGCTGGAGGCGCTCCCTGTTCTGCGGTGTGTGCTGGAGGAGAGTTGAAGGAGATCTGTGTGACTGAGCTATGACTAAGGCCTCTGCTGTTCCAGGTCCTGAGCTAGGGCAGGTGGTAGGGGATTCCTTGCTGCCTTAACCTTGGTGTATGAGCAGAGGAGGGGTCAGGGTACCTGATGGGTGAAGGTTGCATGTGCCAATGTTGCACCCTGAGCTCTGGGGATCAGCTCTTGCAGGTGGCTTTTGTGTGGCAGGGCTAGGAGAAGGGAAGTGCCACCCCACTCCAGCTGTGTTCCTCTGTTACCAGTGATAATGGAGCTCAAGGCCTCGATCGAGCAGTGTGTGAGTACCAAACCCCTTGAGAGTGCTCCAGAGCCTGCCACACCCTTGCCAGCTGCTGCCCCCCTGGATCGGACCCCCACACCCACCAGCACAGAGGTGAGATAAGGGCAGAGCTGACAGCTGTGAGGTGGGAGCTTCAGGGTGAGCCCTTTGGTCTGACTGTGCCTCTACCCCTCTACCCAGAAGCTCCTTCCAGCTGCCAGCTTTGCTGGAAGCCCCTTCTGAGTTACTGGGAGGCTGTGCTGGGAGCTTGGCTTAGTCCTGCTTTGTGTAAGGATGTGACCTAGGGAGTCAGGGGCTCACCCCTTCTCATGGGACGGCTAGGGGGCTGGTCCTATGTCCTGGATTCTGCCATGAAAATGTAGGCCCACCTTTGGACAGGGGTAGAGGTACAGCAGGACTAGGCCTGTGAATCTCTTGCAGGACCTTACCCCTGGCAGCGTGGAGGAGGCGGAGGAGGCAGAGCCTGATGAAGAATTTAAAGATGCCATTGAGGTTTGAGGCTGGTGGGGGTGGGCTGTGCCTACAGGACAGCTGAGTTGGAAAGGGGCAAGGGCCTTGGTGGGCAAGCTGGGCACTCATAGTGGGCAGGTGTGGGGCTGGGTGCTTCTGACTCCATCTGTACTGCCTCTCCTCTCCGTCCCATGCTGCGGGAGAAGGAGAACCAGCTACTGGTCATGGTGAGTACTGCTGTGCCAAGGTGTGCAAGAGGGGCAGGTTTGCTGGTGGTTTGTGGTGATGCCAGGGGAAGCAACCTGCCTGTTGGATGCCCATCTCTGGGGTAGGCTGCCCCACAGCCCCTGTGCATGCCCCTGCCCCCCTGTTCTCAGCTGGCTCTGCTTTCTGCAGGAGGATGACGAGAGCTCTCAGTGCTCAGCGGATTTTGACCTCAGCCTCCCAGACAATGGTTTTATGAGCAAAAATGAGGTCATCCGCAGCAAGGTGTCACGCCTGACCGAGCGCCTGCGCAAGCGCTACCCCAGCAACAATTTTGGTAAGGCCAGGAGTGGGTACTGCTTGGAGTTGCTCGGCAGAGTGGGGTCTGTGCCGCTCCCAGTGGCGGCCGCTGAACTGGGAGTGGACGGAGAGGTGTGGTGCCGGCTAGGGCTGTGCTGACACCTCCACTGAGCTCCCTTCTCTGTGGGGAGGATGTTCCCAGCTGTCCTGGGGAAGGGCAGGGATGGATGAGAGGGTACAGCAGTGTGGTCTCTGAGCTGAGCCTTTGCACCAGGCAGGGGTGTTCTCTGCCTCTTGCAGTCCCAGGCAGCGGAGCCCTGCCTGACTGCTGCTCTCTTTCTTCCAGGGAGCTGCACAGGCTGCACAGCCACTTTCTCTGTGCTCAAGAAGAGGGTGAGTCCAGCTTCTGACCTAGCTTGCTGCCACACCTGGGGCAGAGGTGTTGTGCATGTCTGGCTCACACTGGTTTTCTCTGGCAGCTGGGGTGGCTGGTCACAGTCATGGCCTGGCAGCAAAGGACCTCAGCTAAGTGCTGGGTGTTGTCCTATGCCTAATTGTGCCAGGGACACCCTGTGCTGTGGAACTTTTGTCTTTTTGCTCCTTTGGAAACTGCCTTGGTCCAAACCTGAGGTGCTGGTGTACAAGGCATCACTCTGTGCCCTGGTTTAGCCCATTTTCTGTGGCCTGAGAGCTTTCTGGTGAAGTAGAGCATGGGTCTGCTTGTGGGGACTAGAGGAGTAAAGGCCACCCTGTTGTCCTGTCTGAGCCCCTGTGTGTGATGCTTGGTGCACAGTCCCCTGGGCAGTTCTGGGAAGGATGTATTTTACCCCTTCCAGACTCACATCGCTATTTTCCTGTTGCCTCCCGTTCTCCAAGTCTGGCCCACTCCCCTTCCTCCTGGATTAGTCTGGTATGCCTCTGGGACTTTATAGAGCTTGTATCTCTTCAGAGTTTACAGCACAGGAAGAGATACAGTGTTCCTAAACCTCCTGGAGCCCATGTTCCCGGTGCTTTCTTGGGCTGGGCACAGGCTGCCTGTGATGTGTTTAAGCATACTTGAATGCAGATCCAGCATTGGCAGACATCCTGTCTGTTACTGCAGTGGGGGCTCAAGGCTTGTACCCACTCCCCTTTAGTAGGGAATGCTGTTAGCAGTGCGCTGGCACTGGGGTTTGCTGGGGAGCGCTGGCAGTGGACCCAGAGTTGTTTCTCACCTCTGTCTCTCTCCACAGCGGAGCTGCAGTAACTGCGGGAACAGCTTCTGCTCCAGATGTTGCTCCTTCAAAGTCCCCAAAGCGGTGATGGGAGCCACGGGTGAGTGGAAGGTGGAGGAAAGCAGAACTCCTGCTCCCCTCTGCACTGGCTGCTGCAGAGATTTGCCCCAGCCCTGGTCGAGAGGGCTGGCAGGACTGGCCCAGCACAGCCTGGCTTGGGACAGAGTGGTGATGGGTTTGCAGCTCCAGGGCTGAGTTCCCTAGCCTGTGGTGGGGAAGGGGAACATCTCTGACACCTGCTTTCCTTTCCAGCCCCAGAGGCTCAGAAGGAGACAGTATTCGTGTGTGCTCTGTGCAACCAGGTGCTCATCAAGTGACTGAAACAGTCCCAGCCAGCTCCTGGGTCCTTCACTGCCTGGCCCCTGGGACAGCAGGAGCCCTGCCCTTACTCACCAGGAGCCTGGGCCACTTGGTTCCCAGTGCGGTGTCACCCTCAGCATGGTGTCACCCTGCCAGAGGATGCTTGTGCCTACTGCTCCTCCTGCCAGCACCAGACTGGGGCAGACCAGCCCTCCTTGCCCTACTGCATCAGCTGTGTCCCTGCAATGGAGCATTGCCCACAGCTGTGCCCCTATCCCAGCAGCTGCCTGGCACTTGCTGTGTCCTGTGATGTACTTGTCAGGCCCCTGTTGCCTGGCTCAGTGATGGAGGAGCCATCCTTCCCACTTGTGGTCCTACCTCCACCTCCTGGGTGGGGGCAGAACAACCTTGGAGCTCTGTCCCTGCGTTTCCTAGCACTGTGCTAGGTGTCTGTATTTTTGGGATCAAGTCAGACCTCTACCTGCATCCCCAGGAGATATGGTCTTTGCTCCTGACTCAGCTGAGACCTTGTTAGTCATTCCTGTGCTCCCTGGCCTCACTGTCTGCAGGTTTAGTCTTTTCAACCCCATATTTGGCTGTAGCGCAGAGGGCACAAGAGGGTACGTTTGAGCTGGGCTATGTGGCTGGGTCTCCAGGTGTAGCATGAGAAGACAGGAGTTGGTGCTGCTCTGTGCACTTAGTGACTGCTGCTTTCTAATACAGATTAATATATAAGTGTATATAGAGAATGACCAATAAATCTCTTGCCCTCAGCTGGCTTTTGTCTTGCCCCAGTGAGAGCTGTCCCAGTCCCAGGTTACCCTGGCACCTCTGTGGCCTTGGCCCTGCTGTCCTGCAGGTGGAGGGATGGTGTGTCTCTGCCACCAGCTCCACTTGCTTGCTGGGGTTTCCATCTTCGGCCATGCCATGGCCTTGTTTACCCCCTGCTTGGGGCTGGATGCAGCTGCCCCTCCTTTGCTGCGCGTGGACTGGAGCCAGGGAGAAGCTCGGCCCTGGCAGGAGCTGCTGGGCTTCCTCCCTGCCCTGCCCAGGCGGTGGTCCCCGCAGCTGCCTGCGCACACAAGGGTGACCTTTCCCTGCGTGAACAGCAAAGCTCCCAGCTATCCTAGGAATGTGATCCTTGCTGCTGTGCTGCTGGGAAAGGCCATGGCCTGGGTCCCTGCCAGCCAGCTGGAGCTGCCTGGGTCTGGGAGGGTCTTGGAGGGGGCAGTGCTCATGGGCTGTCATTGCCCAGTGCCCACCGGGCCATGGCACCCACCAGCCTGGAAAGGCACTCGGGACCTGGATCTTGCTGCTGATTGTACATCCCACCAGTGTGGGGCAGCCCTGGGGGCAGGCTGAGCCTTCCTCTTGGCTGTGGGCTCATAAAACCCTTCTTCAAACTGTGTCCTATGGAAATTTGGGGAAATGCTGGACATGGCAGCAAAGTTATCTGAGTTGTACTGGATGGGTTCCAAGGCCAGGGTATGTGGAGGGGCTGGCTGACATGTAGAGGTTTTTAGCAGTTACTGGGGGCAGTGGAGCAGCTGTAACATTGGGGAGGGGGCTATGTAGCAGCCCAAGAGCTGTGGGGTTGTGTTTGTGGGTGGGGGTGTATCTGCAGTGGAGTGAGCACTGGTCTGAAAGGGACTGGGGGTGCTGACAGTGGGTGGCAGAGAGGTTACTTGTCTTTCCAGAGAAAACACTTGGAGCAACGAGCGTGATGGCCATGTATGTCTAAATGCTCCCTGGAAAGATGCTAATGACGCAAAACACAGAGGGCTACAGATAAACTTGGGCTGTGGGAGATGGGGTTTTATTTGTGCACTTTTAAGTTTTGCAGTAAAATGACATAAGTGATGATGTTTATTTCCATGGCAGTGTGCTCAACAGCCTTGCTTTGAACATTCTAACAATATTTAATTTTTCTTCTGGTGTGTTTTTTTTCCCATAGGGACCAGGGTAGAGGGTGTGAGGCTGTGGCAGGTGCTGGCTGCCCTCTGTCCCTGGCTGGCTGCGGGGCAGGGGCATGTCCCTCTGTCTGGAGTGGGATGCCCCTTTGGGGCTCTGGGAAGTGGGGAGAAGCCAGTGGAGCCAAGGCCATGCCTGCGGAGGGGCAGAGGGAGCAGGGATCATCATCCTGGTGCAGGGCAGGTGCCTGGTGGCCTCATCAGCTGGGAGGAGAGTGGGCACAGGCCACAATTCCCGCCTTGTCCCAGGAGGATCTCCTGTGGCAGGGCCAGCTCCGGTGAGAAGCTGCAGTGTCAGGTGGCCAGGCACTGGGTAAGTATCTCAGGAGCTGCCTTTGTGCCTCCCTCACCCGTTGGGACAGGCGGATACAAGAATGCACTGGGTAAATAGGGCTGGAGTGGGACTGGGGCAAGGGGGCTGCCCTCCTCACCTGCTGAAACTGGGGGCTGTGGGGGCAGAGGCAGCCCCTGCTCTGGGGCTGGGGCAGCTGAGCCGAGGGGCAGCACCCTGCGGCCCTCAGAGGAGCCAGGTTGAGGACTGCTGTGGTCCTGGTGCTGCCAAGGAGGTCCTGTCTGGTGCAGGTGGATGTCCCCAGGGAACCTTTTGAAAGGAGGCTGGAGGTTGTGGGGTGGGAGGTCTGGCAGTGGGCAGGGCTGACTGGGAGCTGCAGACAGGACTTTTGGGTGGGGTGGAAGTGGGGTGCCCAGGAGTGGAGCCAGGGATCCTGGCCCAGGTTTCCCAGATGTGCTGCCAAGTCCCAGCCCATGGATCTGTCCTTCAGGGGTGATGGAGGGAGAAACCTCTCTGGTGAATGCCCTCAGACTCAGCAGTGATGCCCCTGTGCCCCCCACCCTCCCTATCTTGACGCCACCCTCCCAGGCTTCCTGGGGTGGTGCAGAGGTGGCAGGGATGCCCGAGTCTCTGGTGATGCTTGTGACCATTGGCTTGGGCAGGCTGCCCAGCCTTGGGCTCTGAGCACAATGCCTGGAGGAGGGCTAGAGCAAGAGCCCAGAGTGACCCCGCTCAGTGGGTAGGACCGGGAGCCCCCTCCCATCCTTCCTGGGGTCTCCAAGGTAGCCCAAGGGGTAGTTGTCCATGAACCACATGGAGCTGGACGCAGGCTTCTCTGAGGTGGAATAATTTACTGTGGTGTGGTCGGGCAAGGGGTGCCTGGGCTGGGTCTTGGTGGGGGTGTGGGTGGGGGATGCAGCAAGGCTGGTCTAGGGGGTTTGGAAGTGCACCTCCACATTGAGCCATCTGGGATGGAAAGGGTGGGGGAGTCCAGGGAGGGGACATGCTGCTCTGGGCACTTGGTTTTGTGAGGGGGCAATCTGTGGGGAGAGCAGTGCAGGAGCCTTGGCTGGGGTGGGTCCCAGCACAGGTGGGATCATCTGGGGCGCAAGCTTGGGGCAGGGGTATGGGATGATCTGGGAAGCTGAGGATCTGGGACATATATCAGCAATGAACTGGGCAGGAGCCACAGGGGTGCAGGGTAGTGCTTCTGAGTGCAGGCAAGGGGTCCCAAGAGGGCCAAGCAGAGATCCTACATGCAGGCAAGGGTCCCTGGGGTGCCAGGCAGGGAACTTCAGAGTAGCCAAGGGTCTCTGATGCAGAGCAGGGCTCACAAGCATGCAAAGCAAGGGTCCTGTGGGCAGCTCAAGCTCCCAGGCATGGGCAGTGGTCCTGGGAGCAGGGAGCAGGAAAGGAGTCCCAGCGGTCCAGAGCAGGGCTCTCAAGAGGATGCATGGGTCCTGGCTGTGGATCAAGGCCCCCATGAATACAGCTGGGAATCCTGGAGGTGCAGAGCAGGGTCCTGGGGCACAGACAGGGGGCTGAGGGAAGAAAAACCAGGGTCCTGGGGTGGAACCAGGGATGCCAAGGGTGCAGTGGCAGGCCAGTGCAGAAGTCCTGGGATGGGGCAGGGTGGGCAGAGCCTTAGTGCTGCCCAGCCCCATAAAGCAGGGGGTGGTACAGGGGGCAGGGGTAGGAGAACATGAACTTGACAGCAAACTTCATCTCCTTGTTGTGTTTCTGCCAGGGGTAGATGGCAAGGAGCAGCAGGCGGCCGCCCACCTTGCGGCCCATTACCAGGAAGCTGCCGCTGGGGCTGTCTAGCTGGGGGCAGGGGCAGGCACCTGCGTTTCTCATGTGCAGCACCATCTTCTTGGTGTCCTTGCGCTTAAGCGGGCCCAGCTTCAGCACCTTCTTCTTCTGGGCAGCCACCAGCCGCCGCTCTCCATTCTCCTCCGTCATCTCCTTGATGCGCATCTTCACCACTGTGTGGGGCAGCCGTGGGGCATGGTTGAGGGGTTGTGACTGCCATGGGGTGCTGCTGGGGGTGGGTCTGGGCTAGGCCCCTGTTGGGTTGGGCTAGTCCCCTGTGCGTGACGGGGTGCAGCCTGTCCCTGGGGTTTGAAGAAGTTACTGTGCAGGGAGCTGATAGGGGGCTGTTGAGGGGGCTCAGCAGAGCTTCCCAGTGACTCTCCTGAATATCCCCCCACCGATGGCTTCTCCACAGAGTCCAAGGGAATGGCTCAGGAGGTCTCCCATGGGGCTGCCACTGGAAAACTGTGCCCTCTCGCTAACCCCAGCCTGGGCTATCAGAGCTGGAGGAGGGCAGTCCCTTATTTGAGGAGGTTGGGGGTGGGGAGGGTGGGACCCCAGCACTCACCGAAGTCGCTGGAGCACATCTGCTCCATCATGCCATCCGCCTTGTGCTCCATCTCGCACTGGGTGCAGATCTTGGACACTGCAGTGAGAGAGCAGCCACTGTCTCAGCTTCACACTGCTGACACCTAGGCCAGCTCCAGAAAGAGAACCCAGCAGCGCCTCTGCTCCCTGGGCTGTGCTAGGGTGATCCTGGTGACAGGGAGCACCTCCCTAGGAAGGATGGGGTATGAGGACAGCTTCCCCACCTGCATCCAGCTGCTGATGCTTTGGGGCACAGCAGCAGCAAGGGGGGCCCCAGCCTAAAGGGTGTCGTAGCCCTGATCCTGACCCTGGGCTGCCTTTGGGTGATGTCCAAAGGGGACAGCCTAAGGGGACAGCCACCGTGTGGCACCGGTATCTGCAGGTGCAGGATGGAGGGATGTGACACAGCAGGAGGCAAAGGATACAGCTCTGCCACAGATCCTCAAGAAGCTTCCACCTTGTCTCACATTCATCCCTAGTGCTGCTCAACTCTCCCATGCCCTGGACAGCTCTGTGCTGGCAGCTGGGTGTCTGGCTCCCTGGGCAGTGCAGAGTGCCCAGCCAAAGCAGCTGCTCTTGCTGCTGCTGCTGCTGTGCCCACTCATAACCTGCTGCACGCAGAGGGTCCTTGGCCAGTGCCAATGCTCCAGACCCTGCTTTGAGGGGTGCAGAGATGGGTGTGGAGGCTCTGCAGGGGGACCATGCATGCAGGTACCCAGCTGCTGGCAGGTGCCCTGCGTGCATCCCCATCCCATCTCAGAGCCCTTCCTGCTTACCTGGCGGTGGGGTGGCCTTGGTGTTCCCGAACTGGATGGCAATGCAGAGCTCGTGGTCAGAGGGGAACTTGCTGCAGTGGAGCATCTCGGGCCAGTAAGACTCCATGACGGGGGCGCAGGAGTCCCGCACCACCTCGCAGAGGGAGCGGCAGGGGTAGACAGGGCGGTCGAGGCAGACGGGGGCGAAGAGGGAGCAGAGGAAGAGCTGGGTGTCGGTGTGGCACTGCTTGGCGAGCAGGGGCACCCAGCTGCTGGCCTGCTGCTTGGCCTCGGCCATGGTTTCGTGCTCCAGCAGGTTGGGCAGCCGCATGCGCTTGTAGCCCACGTCGCGAC